TGCGATACTTCAATAGCATAAACTGCTAGAGCAGGTTTAGATTTTAGCAATGTGTAGCAAGAAGAGTTTTAATTAGGATAAATATGTGAGTGAGTGTAGCAGTATAACTTAGACTGCTGTTTGTTTTTTAATTGTATTGTATATCACGGCTTGTAAGCTTATCATGTTTATTTATCCACTGAGTTCAAATAAATGATGTGTAAAAAAGCCAACTAAATAATAAATTACTTCTCTCTCCCTCTCTCTCTCACTGTGGGGGCCTGGGGGGGGTATCACACATAAAGATGAAGAAATATTATATAACCAGCATGAACTGGCATATAAATCAACATTTGTTTAAATTCAATATGCTTAGTACTNGTGATAAGGTAAAAAAATGAGTAGAATATGTCCAAAGGATTCAGTGTATTGATGATAAAGCAGACAAAGAAAACATTCAATTATGAAAATAATCCTCCACAGTTGGCATGCAGTAGAAGAATAAGGCCGTTTTACCATAACCATCCAGATATCTGGCTCGGCCTCATAAAATACATGAGTGTGCATCTCGGCTTCTATAGTCTCACAAGGCATCTCTGGAGAGAAAATTCTGCAGAAGACTGGTATTACGATTCTAAATCCATGAGGCTAAAGAAGATTCAAAATAAAGAAAAAGGAGAACAAACATCAGCAGCGTTGTATTGACCAAACCATCAGCGAATTTATCATCAATTGAGCACAAGCAAAACGATCATAGTTATCAAGGCATCACGTAGGCAGCTTAACTTTTTATTTTAACAAAAGATTAAAAAACTAGGTAAGAGAAGAAGATATAGTTTGAAGCTCTAAACATTCTTTTTGAGGAACGGAGTGGGTATATAATTCCTTGCTTTATTTCATAAGACATTGATAAGGTTGAGTTTATAAGTTTCTGATAAGGAGTAAATGAGTAAGCCAAGGAATCATAAACACGTATTGGTTTGGCAAAATAATTCCTAACCTTGCTGAGTTATGCATACAAAAATTGAAATGTTCTGAAATTGCCACTTCACCACCCTAACCTGAATCCTTCTAAACTATCCAATATGACAAACTGGGTGGATTTCTAGGACCAAACCATTTATTTTCTTTATATCTTTTTTCATTCAGTATGAATGCCTATACCTCCAAATGCCCTAACACCTCTTTCTAATGACAAGCTGTATGAAATATGGCTTTTAGAAGAGCAACAACAACAACAACAATTATAAACTTCAATTAACACATATCCTTAATCAAGCTATTGACCAAATCACATGTCTTCCTTTAATAGATTAGTACATTAGTATATAACTGACCATGGTGACTGTTGGCATTAGGAATCAAATAAAGAATAAGATATGCAGCAAATAATCATTACAGAAGAAATGAACTACGTAACCAAGACATTGACGTTCACTAGGAACAAACCTTGTAAATGTGATGATACCTTCACTTAAGCCAATAACAGAGAGCTGAGTGGAGAAAGGAACATCAGCAGGAAAGAAGAATAAAATTTTGTCAAGCTCCTGCCCTTCATGTTGTCCCCTTCTCAAATCAAACATGCATAACTTCATCGCTTCACTAGCAGTACTTACAGCTGACATTCCCATGCTTAAAAAACTTCAAACTTCAATTCATTGACCTAGAAATAAATACCTATTAATAAAAGGAATAGGAGAAGCAACATAGCTTATCTTAGATTATAAATAGTAGGTATCACATCAAGCCCCATACATGTCAAAAGGCAGTGATTTTTTATGCATCGGATCGATTTATTTTATCCGTTTGATGTAAGTTAAATGCAACATTTCATCTATATGTAGTTTGTGTGCCTATTGAGACAAGTCAGACAACAATGTGTAAGATTAATGTGATAGGAAAAACAATAAATTGAAGAAACTGGTGAAATTAGTAAAAGCTATGAATTCAAGAAACATGAATCGTATCTCTAATTACAGACATATATATATATATATATATATATATATATATATATATATATATATATATATATATATATATATATAGCAATTGTGCATCACGGACTAGTATCTGGTGGTAGGTAAATGCTGTTAGGGTCGTTTGCAAAGGCAGAAAAATGTCTTTTTAGAAAATAATTTCTAGAAATGGTTTTCTAGCAAACCTTTTAATTTTTGGGTCTTTGGCGGAATGTTGTAAAACTTTTTTTCTGCTTGGTTCATTTTCTGGAAAATGAAAATTTCAATCTTGCAAAAAGGTATTTCCAACAAAATACTCCGTAAAAATTAATTTAACAGTAGTATAGCTATGATTGACCCATTCAACAACATCAGAGCACATAAAATCAATATTTATAAAAATCAACAAACATAACATTTTGCGATAACAAAAATGGCATGAAGATTAGCTAATTGTGAACTGCTTCTAATGATCTGCTGTCATCATCATTCAAGAACAAAATAGGCATATGATCTGCTGCTTAAAATTTCTATAGGGAACACACTTTAGGGATTTTGCAAACACAACAAAACTTAGCAATGCCAAAGGCTGTACATCTAACTAAAAATTGCTAATGAAATGCCATATAAAAATTGCTAATGAAATGCCAAAGGCTGTACTTGTAAACCTAATAGTAACACCGATTGATCTTATACACCTAAGAATACCAAAATAAAATAAACCCAAAGTTCAAAAAATTACGCACATGAGTAGATCAGATGCTTCTTCGTCTTCAGTGTTCGACCTTCATCCTTCGGCGCAAGGAGGAAATCGCAGCCTCAGACGCTTCGTCGCGCGCAGGAAAAGATTGTCTCCTCCGTCTCCAGCTTTTCGTCGCGCGGAGGAACACGAGGAAGAAGGAGTTTTGCTTTTTTTTCACTTTTCAGTTTACACCAAGCCGGTAATTCGGTAAAGTTTGCTTTTTTAACAACATTTTTTTTCTTAGATAAAATATTAATTGTGTTGATAAATTTAGAAAATACCATATTTTTTTTAAAATGCTAGCGCTCATGTCAAACAGCACCATCATACTCCTTATGTGCCTTAAACATTGTCACAACTTTATATTTTTTGGTTAAACCGCTAAATTATGGTATCTTTTAATCGCAAATTATGAAAAAAATATATTTAGTTATTATGTAGATTTAGTAAAATAAAGTTTTTTTTAATATAATTTTGAAATATCAATTTTCTATAATAGTTAATTATTTTAAATAATATTTAATTTATAATCAAAAGTGTCATAGTTTGATTAAAAAAGTCAAACTATGACAATATTTTATGGACGAATGATGTAAGTGGGTAAAAAATACTTTTCATTTACTCTATTTTTAGTAATAATAATTATGTATCATGTTAAACAAAAAAATAATAATTATGTACTCGTATAACCTAAAAAATCCCATTTTAAAAAAATTATAATAATATATTTTCACTTTTGAGTCGTTTCTCAAACTTTCAAAGAAGTACCGAGTAATTCTTTTAGAATGAAATGAGTATTAAAAGTAGTTTTGATATACAAAAACTATACAATACTAATGTTATATTTTATACTTAACTATTCAAGTTGCAACATAAAAGAGAAAATGATTACCTAAAAATGAGAAAATGAGAAAATTTTAAACCAACGAGTTATGACTTTGGTTTTTGAAAATTTTAAATTCATATTAACACTTTTATTTCGCATTAAATAAAGTTAAAATATGAAAAATATGTATTAGATCTATTATATTATTTTATTTTAAATTCTGAAGTAATTTTTAGGTATATAATTCAATATATAGAATTAAAAAATACATAATGTTTTGAAATAGTAAGATAGTTATGTAATATCATTAAAAAATCTGAACATGTAAATTTATACAATAAAAACGAGTAGTAAGAAAAAATAATTATAATCTTATTTTTACAACATTATCTTTCATAGTAAAGTATATGATTTTGTAAAACTCTTTCATTAGCGGGTCGGACATGTCAGATTTGGGTTTGACCCATTTTTAGCGAGTCATTTCAGGTTCGGTCAACTTCGAACTCGGTAAAAAAAATCTTTGTCCAAAAATCCGGTGGTTTCAGGTTGTGTTTCCGGTCAAAAATAGATTAAATCATTTTTGTCAGGATTAGTTGTTGTTAATCTTATTTTGTTACACTATAATATAGAGTAACAACAACAATAATGATGATGATGACAATAATAATAATACTCCGTAATTCGTAATAATTAGTATTATTATTATTCTTCTGGGTCAAAATGCTCCGCGAGCTTTAATATAAAGCCCGAGATCAACCCACAATATGCAGGCTAATGTTTATGAAATCCAAGCCTATTTATAAATTTGCCAATTTCTTGAGATTAGTTTTGATTCTTATTATTTTGTTACGGGCTTTACATTTATCTCATAGTATACACTGTGCTATGCATGGTTTACATTTTTTCTAAAAGATTAATCAAGGATTTGTTCTCTTCAATGTATCTGATTAGTTTTGTTCTGATTCAATTAAGATCTAATATAATGTGAATATAATTATATTTAAAATTATTTTTAATCTGATCTAATTCAAAGGAAAAAAATAATACTCCCTTCATCCCAAAATAGATATCACTATCACTACTACAGTCTCTTGATAATTTTTGTTTATTTGTATATTTTCATTGATAATTTGATAAAGTAAAATATCATTGTCACATCTTGTCTCATAGATTTTTTATTTAACTTTAAATAGTATAATTTATATTTTTTTTATTTTTATACTAATTTGTCATTATAATAATTTTAAAAATAATAAGAGTTTACATATTGTTGAAAGTGTGAAATAAGCCTTAATTATGATGCAATAGAATAAAAAGCCTTAATTATGAAATAATTTTTGTTCACGAGAGATTGATTATTCACAGCACACAGCAGTAACTTTGTTTTTTTTAACCAAGTGGAGTAAAGATGAAAGCGAACGACGACGTAACAACTGCCTCGAGAAATGTGACCGTTAAACCATGTGGATTCAAAATCAGCTGCGTTACCGGACAGCTCACGTCGGCGCGTACGTATCCACCTCCCTCTCCCTCACGCCGATTGTCTTCATCTCTCTCTAAGAATTTCCAGGTTGAAATTTAAGCCCTAAAAGGCAGTAAAAAAAAGAGTAAAGGCAAAAGGAAGAAAGGAAATATGGGGTGCGCCCAATCGAGTCTGGACAACGAAGAATCGGTGGCGAGATGCAAGGACCGGAGGAATCTGATGAGGCAAGCCGTTCAGGTGAGGAACGCCTTCGCCTCCGCTCACGCCGCCTACGCTACGGCGCTGAAGAACACCGGCGCCGCCTTGAGCGACTACGCGCAGGGCGAGGTTCCGCCTCCAGCCCCGGACGTCGCCGTCGCCGAGCCGGCTCCCAAGCCGCCTCCCCCCATTCCGCCCCATATGATGGAGAGGAGCCCCCTCACTCCCCTCCCCCCTCCTCCCCCGCCCTTGCCCAGCTTCTCCCCCGTCACGCCCCTGCAGCGGTCCATCACCATGCCGGAGCTTTCTAAAAGGATGGAGAAAGTGAAGACCGTCCCGATTGGAGTGGAAGAGGAGGTGGAGGAGGAGGAAGAGGAGGAAGACCACGAGATTCGAATAAGCAGATTGAAGCTGAGGAATCGCCACAATAGGGCGGAGAAATCTGGTAGAGACGAAGATGCGACTCCTGATAAGATTCCAGATTCGCCCCCTCCTCAGCCTCTCGGTGAAGCTTGGGATTACTTTTATATGACTGATAATATGCCTGCAACAACCCTAGGAGGCGTCCAGGAAGAAGAGTACGGAATCGACAGCCCGATAAGTCCCATAACTGAGAATCTCGGCAGAGATGAAGACATTGAAGAGTTCAAGACCCCAGAGAAAGGAGTAATGGGTAGTGATGAAATGGGGGAGACGCCGCCGCCTATGATGGCTATGGAGAAACACTTCGTTCATTCTAAGACGGCTCCTCCAGGGATCATCGGGTTGATCAATAGCGGGAAAATGGAGAGTGGAAACAGTGCAGATTTTTATAAGGTTTTCAGTGTGATAGATGATCATTTCCTCAAGGCTTCAGAGTGTGTTCAAGAGGTTTCAAAGTTGCTCGAGGCTACTAGGCTTCATTATCACTCCAATTTCGCAGACAGGGGTAATTTGATCGTGTTAATTCTTGATTCTGTTTGGAAATCATTTTACACAATGCCATTTTCAAAAGCGTCCGACACGATTACTCATATTTGCAAATGAGCTTGTTTTACTTACCGGCCTTATGGGAACCCTTTCGTTGATTAAAGAGGCGTTTTCATTTGGACATGAATGCAGGAACTATTGATCACGCTACGAGGGTTATGCAAATCATCACATGGAACAAGCCTGTTACTGCCGTGTCAAAAGGCGACGGTGCTATTGAAAAGTATGATGGTGGTGACTCTGAGACTCATGCCACTGTTTTGGATAAGTTGATGGCTTGGGAGAAGAAACTATATGAGGAACTTAAGGTGGATTGCACAACTTTTTATTAGCTTTTCTGAAACTGCCTTTCCACTAGCCAAGTTTCTTCTTTTTTTAAATGGATGTTTATACATTATTCTAACATACAATATGAACATGACACGGAGTGTCTTATACGTGAAAGCAAACTAGATAGTACATTAGTGCTTCTTCCAGCATTTATAAACAGTTCTGTTTCATATTTTTTTGTCAAATGATGAAATGAAAATGTCACTCCAAACTCCGTTGTAATGTGTATAAGAAACATACATTTGCCAACTGTTGATTGATCCATGTTGATAGGCAGGTGAACTTATAAAGCATGAATACGAAAGGAAAGTTGGAGTTCTAAACAAGTTGAAAAAGCGCAGTGCTGGTTCAGAATCACTGGAGAAGGCGAAAGCTGCTGTTAGCCATTTGTACACACGTTTTATTGTTGAAATGCAATCTTTGGATTCAACGGTCGTGGAAGTGAATGAAATTCGTGACAAGCAGTTGTACCCAAAGCTTGCCGAACTTGTTCTTGGGTACGTTTATGTACATGCCCTACTTACCGAGTTCATGTGTGAAGTCGCTAGTAATTTATTTATTTATTTAAAAAACTCAAACTTGTTAGAGTATCAGTTAGATGTTGGAAATATCAAACTCATCTACTGTGATCCATCTATATGTGAAGCTTGACCCGGGGGTCTGGGGCCTCTCGGAAACAGCCTCTCTACTTCCAGGTAGGGGCAAGGTCTGCGTGTACACACATCCTCCCAAGACCCTAGTTTCGTGGGATCCAACTAGGTTGTTGCTGTTGTTTGCTTGATCTCCAACTTAGTAAACTACTCGCTACATTAGAAGGGAATCTGGTGCACAAAGCCTCTCCTCTTAACAAGGGTTAGAGGAAGGGTCCCATCACAAGAGTGTAATTGTAATGTAGGCAACCTTTACTCTGCATTTTTTCAAAAGCAACAACAACAACCCAGTTGGATCCCATGATTGTAGGGTCTGGGGAACGTTTTTGCAAAAGATTGCTTCCAAAACTCAAACGCCACTTCGGTAAACTACAGTATAACAATATAGACATCCCTTCCTAGTATCTCACTTTCAAGTTTCCTCAGTATATTTAGGGTATGTTTTGATCCTATAAAATGCTAAGGGAAGTCAAATTTTATTCAGATTATTATGCTCCCAAGAAACAAAATACCCGAGTGAGCAAATAAGTCATAACCTGATATTATAAGTTGTAGTTGTATGAATAATTCTAAATGATGTAATGATCAAAGGTGACTAGATATCTCTTGGAAGGGTCTCTCTACTTTCGAGTAGGGTAAGGTTTGCATACGCACACCCTCAGACCCTACTTTTTATGGGATTTTGCAGGATTTGTTGTTGTTTGATATTGGAAATTGAAAAAACACAAGAAAACACAATATGATTAACTGTCTTATTCTACTTTTGAGCATTATAAGTAGACTTTTGACTCAGTCACACACACACAGTATTTGGACCCTAAAATGATGTAATGATCAAAGATGACCGGATACATGGTACTGAATTTGCAGGATGGCCAAGATGTGGGGATCCGTGTGTAGGCACCATGAAGAGCAGATGAAGATTGTTATGGACCTCACAAGCATGGACATCTCTGCAACTCCCATGGAAACAACAAAACACCACCAGCAACGCACCTTACAGCTGGGCAATGTCATCAAGGAGTGGCATGACCAGTTTGAAAACCTGGTGAACAACCAAAAAACCTACATTCAGACCCTCATCAAGTGGTTAAAACTAAACCTCGTCCCGATCGAGAGTAGCCTGAAGGAAAAGACGACCCCGTCCCCACCCAGACTCCAGAATCCCCCCATCCAAACACTACTCATAGCCTGGAATGAGATCCTCGAGAAAATTCCAGACGAGCACTCCAAAAGTGCAATCATGTCTTTTGAAGCCGTGATAAGGACGATCATTCTTCACCAGGATGATGAAATGAAGCTGAAGGAGAAGTGCGAGGAGACAAGAAAAGAGTACACACGTAAGACCCAATCCTTCGAAGAATGGTACCAGAAGTACATGCAGCGTGCAGCTACACCATCCGATGAGGCGGACCCCGTTTCAGAGAGGCGGTTTGTGGTGGAGAGCTTGAAGAAGAAGTTGGAAGACGAAACAGAAGCTTACCTGAAGCAATGTCTCCAAGTGAGAGAGAAATCTTTGGGGAGTTTGAAGATTCAACTGCCCGAACTTTTCCGGGCCGTGAGGGATTATTCACACATGTGTTTCAATGCTTATGAAAGATTGAGACTTCTAGTGGTGAATCAAAACAACCCAAACCAGGAGGGTTCTTCTTCATAGGACTCTTAATTTTATCCTTGTTAGGGTAACTGCTTCTCTATGTAGAGATGATCGTTTGTTCCATTAGTTTTTTTTTGAAATCTTGCCATGAAAGGCTAATATATTTATTTATTATCAATTCCTTATGTTCTTGTTAAGAAACAGGTTTTTTGTACAACTATTTGTACCCTACAATTTTTTTTGTTCTCATTGGGAAGAATAACTGTCAGCGGCACACACAAACTGGACAGGCAACATCACTTCTCCCCGAGAACGAAAAATAAAAATTGAATTGACGGTATCCAGAGCATAAGAAGGCAATAAAAATGGTGTATTTTCCATTTTTTGTTATATAACTAGTCAAATTCAATATTGGTATAATGAAAATAATGTGTAAAGATAAGCTCAATGACATGCTTTTTGAAAGGTGAAACTAATATTGAGTAGTTCAAAACTCTGAAAACTTAGAAGATTAATGACCTCAAAGGGTAAAGTAGAACACACAACCTCAAATGCAATAGGCAAAGTGCTGTAATCATACTCATTGTTTCTAGTCTTTCTACTTAATAGTACAACAGTAATTTTACACTACACAGGGCATTTTGGGATTTTCAAGTTCCACTGGCATGAAAATCAAGAAATTTAAGTGTATAATTGAGAAGTTTATTTAAAAGAAGACTACGTTGGAGTAAATTGTGGGGTATCATGCTGGAGCTGGTTGATTGGATGAATGTTTACATGCAACTCCTCCTTGGCCTTGATTCTTCAACTCATCTCCAGCCACCAAAAAATATGCAGTGTGCCTACAACACAATACACTTGCATAAGAAAAAACGGTGAAATTTGCCCTAAATAGTACCTAAAACTTTTTATTCCCTAAATAGAACTTAATTATACAAAGTAATACCTAAACCCCTACATTGAAGGATAGATATGACGGTATGGGCGGGAGAGGGAAAGGCCAGTTCTAAAATGCAAACTATGGTGGCCGGTGAAAAGTTTCTGTTCTTTAATATTTTTTTAAAATAACATTGTGTGTTTGAGATTTATCCAGAAGGAGACTCGGTATGAACATAATGTTTAGCTAGTTTTGAAACAGATGGAGAAAAGAAAATGGGAAGATTGTTTAAGGGTAAAGAAATAGAGGACATGATATGTGTACCTAAAAAAGTTCATCATTTTGGTTTTGGAATCATCATCAATGTTTGCAGTGGTGTCTAGTGCTTGTTGCATATGATGCAACCATCTTTCTGCAGCTTTGTGGGTGACCGGAAAAGGGCGATGGCGCGCAATCAATGCAGGGTGACCTGTAAAAAATAATTTCAGATTCTTGTTTCAAAAAATCAACAAACCTCATACTGTGGGAGAAGGATAGGGTAGAAGGTTTTATGAAAACACAACTCATGGTTACCACCTCTTTGGGAGAGCTGAAAGAATAAAAAAAAGTGTGGGAGGGGAAAGTGTGAGGGGGGGGGGGGGNTCATAGACCTTAGTTTTGTGGGATTTATCGGGTTTGTTGTTGACTTGTTGTCAGGGAAGTGTGAGTGAATATTAGCTCAACTGATTATTTAAAGGAACTAAAGCTATATATATGCCATCATAAACAAAGAACATATTGTGTTCATTGTATAAACCACATGAATAATAAATATCTAACATTTTCAAAACATAAACATCACATATTGGAACAGAGTTCATCTCTTTCAGAAAAGTCATTGTGTTTGAGCGAAAGAAAAGACATTGTTTTTATTTCTAGTGGAACTATCTAGTCAATAATCAATACTCATCATCTTCTTTCACCATCCTCGCTGCAATTTCTTTTTTTTCTTTTTCATTTCTATGATATTCTATACAATCACATATGATTCCTTAATGAATTTGTTAGATACTATGAGTATAAGATTGTGCAAGCGATATGAATATAATTATTAGTTTAAAACCATTAAATTCTACGACTTAAATCGCGATCATAAGAGGCTTGAATTTTCTTCAACCTTAATTTAGGAGGTAAGAGTTGAGATTAGAAATGGTCAGTGCCTTCTCAGTCTTCCCCTAATAGCCTAATGGTTAATAGTAAATCAAGAAATTGTAAGCAGAGCTATGGCTTCAGATGGAAGCAAGAAATTTGCAGACTTCACTGGGAAAACCACAGTTTTAGAAAAGGATATCTATGGATCACATAATTTAGGAAATCCATGAAAATCTGTGGTTCTACTTACCTCTCCTCTGGGAAAACAATGGAGGCCCTCCCATCCTCTGCACGAAGAACTCATACTGGTTCCTAATGGCGTCTTCTTTCTTCGAATTAGCGAAAATCGAACGGAACCACTCTTCCTCGTCATCATAAACCCTAGCTCCAAATTGGAATTTAATTTTAACAAGGGCAAATTAAAACCCTGGTTTATGAATTGGGAGGATAGAAGTAAAAACCTAGTGTAGAAATTGGTGGAGAGGGCAACAAATGTTTCGATGCCGAGCTTATGGAAGAGATTGGTCTCGTCAATGGCGAAGGCGTCGGCGGTGTTCACCCCGCTCCAACCCGCCGCCTTCTCCTGCAACGTCTGCATTTTTTGCGCACTGTGAACTAGCAAGAAGAAGAAGAAGAAGAGAGATTCGTGCGCGGACGAACAATGTGAGCAATCAATTATAAATAAAATATTTAAATAAGTAAAATTTATTTATATAACACTAAAAAATAATAATTTTTATTAAATAGCATCACATGCTTTTTTTAATGTAGCACTTTTAATTATTATGCATTAGTCATTATTCAAAGTTAATATTCAAACACTAGATGTTATTAACATTATTAAGTTCTATTTAGAGAATAAAACAATTTAAGTATCATTTTGTGAAATGACTTAATTTTTAGTATTATTTAGTATAAATATTTCATAAAATAATTTTAAAATAAAAAAAATATAATATAAAATATATCAAAATCTAATATAGCTATTCCCACGTCCCAATTTATAGTGATGGAGGAAGTAATATATTTCAAATACTATATTCCTTCTGTCTCATTTTAAATAAATTGTTTTTTTGTACGTCTCAAAATAAATTGTTTGTTTATTATAATAATGAGCTTTTAAGGATAAAATATCTAAACTACTCCAAAAATAAATCACTTTCTCTCTACTTTATGTTCTCATTACTTGCACACCTGTAAAAAAATAATGTATTTTTGAAAAATCAATACCATTTTTTATTTTCCTTAAATATGTTCTAAAGTCAAAACAATCAATATAAAATGGGACGGAGAGATTACCTTTATGTTCAATTTGAATAAATACTACGTATTTTTTACTTTTAAACAAGTATATTTTTGGATTGGGGGAAGTTTTTTTTATTGAAGGCACCAATTTACAAACCCAAAAAAAAAAAAATGTACTCCGTAACTAATTGTTTTTAACTGGGGCAGCCGCCCTCGCTTCCCGGACAATCGAATCCAACGATTAAGATTTACCGACGCCGGGACGGCGCTTGGTTGACACTGGACAGGCATCCGTTTCTTCTGACCAGTCGGGAAATCGAAGCAATAAAATCTGAATCCGTTTCTTTTGGTTGCAGAGGCAACAAGGGTACATTTGAAGATTCATCGCGTTTCAGCTGTAAAATGGTGGCGATTCCCCATGAAAACGCGGCCGGGGAGGAGAAGGAGATGTCTAGGAAACGCCGACGCTTGACCTGGGACGTTGCGTCTGATGATCCGAGGAATCGAGGAATCAAGGTTCGATTATTAGAGTTAGGGTTAGGGTTTTTGGTGGAGAAAGCTAGAGGAGGACGGGACTGTGGGATCTGATATTCTGAGGCGGTGCTTTTCTTGTTGTGTGTAGGCCGATGGGAAGGATGACAAAAGACTGAAAGCAGAGGTTCCATCTAGGTCCAGACAGTCGTCGCCACCGCGTAGGGATGATGATTCAGTCGGCCATTACGTGTTCAGTCTGGGCGAGAACCTGACGCCAAGATGTTAGTAGCTTTTCAAGCCCTTTCACGTTCTTTAAATTCTGTATTTGCTGTTTTCTCTTTAGTATGAATGCGTGCAAATGATTTTGGGCAATCTATCAGAATGGGTCCGTGTTCCTTAATTTTTAAAGAAACTATGACATCTGATACGTATGATTTTGCAACAAGATTCTTGCAATTTGGTTGAAACTAGATTCTTGTATTCTTATTTTTTAGTGATTGTCTTTTCCTATGCTCACTGCAGTGTACTCCATTTGATATTTTGATGCTAGAGTAAATGAAAGATTTTATTGTTTTCTATGTAGGCACTGAAAACACCAAATTCGCTCTTTAGTTTATCAAAAGCTGTGTTTGTATTGCCAAAAACCTTCTCATTTATTCATAGAACTGGTTTTGCCTAGTACATATCTAGAAGGCATAGTATACTGAATTACCATTTGTTTGAAAATCCTTGGGTTAGCTTCCAAGATGACATGGGTGTGCAACGACAGAAATTTCTCCAGTAGTGGTTTTCCCTCTTTTTTTTCCTTCTACTCTGTATGGAAAAAATTAAAAAAAGTATCATGCTTTCCTTCCTTGGAGCTTTCTTCTATATGTCTACATTAAACTTTGTTCATTTGTTAGCGTAGGGACTAGAGTTAAAAGCAAACCTCTTGTTGACAAAAATATTTTCTCATAATGTTGCCCGGTAGGTGAAGTAAAATAAATCGGATACCTACACTATAAGAACTGACTTTGTACTCCTACACTTGTTTTGAGATGCTGCGACTGTTTTTGTCATACTTACATTAAAGCAAGCAGAATTTTTGTTTTACATTAAGTTTGCGTATAAGTCGCTCAAAATTAGAGTTAATGGAGTGGGGGTTTGGCAACAAAAGGAGAAATAGTAATATCGAGGTGAAAGTCAGAGAAAATACTATACCGCAAGTAAAGAGATTTAAATATCTTGGGTGAGTAATTCAAGACAAAGCAGAAATAGAGGATGATGTTAACCGTATGATTCAAGCCGGTTGGTTAAAGTGATGGAGTGCTTTGGGCTTTATATGTGACAAAAAAGCACCTTTAAAACTAAAGGGGAAGTTTTACCGTGTTGCGATTATACCAACTATATTGTATGGAATAAAGTATTATGCGAGAAAGGGTGAACATGAACGCAAGGTTAGTGTGACAGAAATGAAGACGCTTTGTTTGATGAGCGATTATCAAACTATGGATAGAGTAAGGAATGAAGATATGAGAGTTAAGGTTGGAGTAGCATCTATTATAGAAAATATGGTTGAAACTCGTCTTAAGTGGTTTAGACATGTGGAGAAGACGAATAGAACATCCAATGAGAAGTGTTGATCAAATGGTGAGTAGACATGTGACTAGAGGTAGACCTAAGAGACTTGGCAATAAGTAGTGAAGGGGGACCTTCGCGTGAATGATCTCACTCCTGATATGATACATGACATTGTTTGATCCATGTAGCCTACCCCACATAGTGAGATAAGGCTTTGTTGTTGTATTTTTATTTTTATTGGTGACTCTTTGTCATGTACATGTTTCTGATGTGTGACCACTGATGGCAGAGACTTTCAAATTAAGCTTTATGCGTCCTCATTGTATTGATCTTGACCCCAATTAAATGGGGTTGTTGGCATGAATTATATGGTTTCAATTTGTTGTCTAAAACTGGACAGCCAAGATTGTTACATTAAGATTTGGACATTTGCTAACACACACACACAAAGGAGATATTTTATTTTGCCTTGTGATGTTTAGTTACTTCCAAGCCAAATGATAGGTTTCATCTTCTCTTGTGTGTTTTACAGATAAAATTCTCAAGAAATTGGGTGAAGGTTAGCTGCCGTGTGCATGTTGACAACAAAACATTATGTTTATATCTCACTTTTGTATCAGATCAGCAAATTGCTAGTGCTGTAGGCACCTTTGGTCGAGTTTTGGAATGTTGGGACCGTCAAACTCGAGAATTTGTAGCTATTAAAGTTATACGCAGTCTTGAAAAATATCGTAAAGCAGCAATGACTGAGGTTGATGTGCTTCGTCGTCTTTCTGAGAATGACACATGCTATTCACAGTATGTTCATCTTAAAGAACCTCTAGAAGGATGTCTTTTTCTTCAATTTGATGTTTTCCTCTTTCATGTTTGGTCTGATTTCACTTGTGCATCTTGCAGTTGTGTGCAGATTCTAAGCTGGTTTGATTATCGCAATCATATATGCATTGTAAGTAAAAGTTACAGAGTGCAACACCTTTTCAACTTTTTCCTGCAAGACTGTAGCATTGTTCCTCTCTTAGTTTTATTTTTAGGTTGTGACCCAGTTTTTACCCTAACAGTTGATCTTAATTATTGATGTGCATGGTTTGACTTTGGAGTTGGTGATTGACGATTATATATGCTCCCATTTCTACTTACTTTTTGATTTTACATTGTTCCTTTTTTAAGTTCAAGCTCCTGATAGCAACTTTGGTCTATGTCGCTTGAATTAAAGTTTTATGCTATTCTTTTCAACCATCGAGTAAGTACTCAATAAAGAATTCCCTTCTGCTGCATCTGGATGGTAATTTTAGGTGTTTGAGAGGCTTGGCCCCAGTTTATATGATTTCTTGAAGAGAAATAGGTACCATCCACTTCCTGTGGATCTTGTTCGGGATTTCGCTCGCCAGATTTTGGAATGTGTAACATGTGTGGCTCTTGTTCAGTGATTATTTGCCCTTTCCTATCACCTATTCCCAGTAGCTTGCTTCTTAAGAATATTAACCATATGCTATTGCTTGTTGTATTTATTCAACAGATATGCACCATTTACGGTTAGTCCACACTGATCTGAAGCCAGAAAATATACTCCTTGTGTCATCTGAATCCTTGATGCTCCCAAGCTACAACGTATGTGGCATTATAGACAATATAAATAAGTTGAAGAAAAGTGAATATGTAATCATGTACATGTGCTATTGTGTTTTTAAGCAACATTTGGATTTTACAGAGGAGCTCAGGTGATGCAAACACTAGGTGCTTGCCAAAATCAAGTGCTATTAAGGTGATTGATTTTGGTAGTAGTGTGGATGATGATCGGATTCATTTCTCAATTGCTTCCACAAGACATTACAGAGCACCGGAAATTATTCTAGGTAAATGGTTACTGGTGAAGGGATATGTAATCCACCTGTTCTATTTTCTTCAGACATTTAAATTTGCCTATCGAAGTGGAAAAAGTGCTTGTTGTTACAAGATTGTAGAAGTACTTCAAATATAAAACTTCTAAAATTATCTTGGAATATTTATATTGGATTTTGGAATTTTCTAAAAAAAGTTCTTGTTTCAGTTTATTTCAAAATGACTAGAAATGTGAGAAATTTTTAGTTATGTAATTCGTGTGTAGTGTATGTGTATTTCTCTTTTCCACGTGCTCATACAATGACTTGCTTCGTATATTCACAAAAACATATATGCATGCATACAAAAATGACAAACAAGCATTGGTCCCAAATCATTGGGGTCGGCTAATAAATAAATGAAGAATCTTTTGATAACACATGCTGGGTGGAAACCTAAGGTATTCTCATGTTGGTGATTGAGTTGCAATAATTACTTTATAAATTCACTTATTTAGCAGTACAAATTTTGCAATAATTGCTCTATTCTTTCTTTATATAAGAGAATTTTGCTAAGGATTACTATATGCAGAGCATTTCAGAACTAAGTCTTGAGAGTAATGGGTCTCAATAATCCCAGCCCACATACACATGTGCAAAACACATTTAAGCTTATAATGTTTTCACAGTTTTTGTTTACCTTCTGCACATTTACCCTATCTCCCATATCTCTGCTCTGCCACACTTATTCTGTATTAAATCAATATCAATCGTCGAACATTCTGAGCGTGAAGTGAATTGGATCTTGTAGCAATCTTATGCATATATTCATGTACTTTTTTGGGGTAACTACATGTGTAAGCACCCAATAAATGGTCAGCGAGTATTGGTACATTGTTACTTGCCATTGTTTCAAAGATTCCATACTATTGGTGTCTATCAGTGTCTGATAGTTTATATACATTATGTATATGAATATTTTTGTGTATTGAAATCTTCGCATCTACTGATCTATATGATAGGTTGTAAAATGTTCTTCTAAAGACAGAATAAAAAGGATGTCCGTTTGCTTATCACAGAAAAAGTAGATGTGTCAGTTTGAGATTTTGTACTTCAATTCATAGAGGGGGCACTAATATCATGTGCACTTTTTTGTGTAGGTTTGGGGTGGACCTATCCCTGTGACTTATGGAGCGTAGGTTGTATACTTGTTGAACTTTGCATGGTTAGCTCTGCATTTTTGTCACTGTTATCTGTCATTCTCTTTGGTTTTGATATATTTTTAAATTTTGGATTTTGGGATTCCTAGAAAGCCATAAATAGGCCTTTGCATTAAATGTTCTTTCAGGGCGAATCTCTTTTTAAGACACACGATAACTTGGAGCATTTGGCAATGATGGAGAGAGTGTTGGGTCCTCTTCCTGTTCATATGGTTCAACGGGCAAAGTAAGTTATTTTTGGCTGTCCATGGAAATTTTGTCAAGTAATGCCAGAGGATGACCATCACAGTGTCTACACATTACACAAACCACCCGAGAATTTATTTCTTTTCTTTTTATCCTCTTAGGAGTGTTTGGTTTGCAAGATGTGCCATTACGTACGTATTGCAACACAACCTTGTTTGGTTTAGGCAATTGTCATTACCCCCGTCATGTGACTGATAACCTCCATTTTCTTAGGTATCATGGGATTTCTTGGGTGACTATTCCGAATCTGTCTTTCACACTTGGACAACATTAGTTATCATTACATTATGCTTACAAAATAACTTAAAAGAAAGTTTTATACAATCTGCATATCGTTTTACCTTCGCCTACAACTAGTAATCCTATTGTTAGCAAATTGAGAACGCAAGTAATGTAAACACTCCCGCCCTAAAATTCTCTTCTGACTTTTAGGTAAGATTAGTGTGGTTGACATTCTTTTGTGTCATCTTTAAAGAAACCACAACTACACAATCCTTTTCTTATGCCGAGTCAAACTAGGGAAAAAAATTTAGGCTGGAGGGAGTATCACATTCTGTGCATCAGGAGTGATTCTATGGTGGACCTAAGGTCCACCTGGACCTTCTCACAATTTTTTTAATATTAAAAATGCTTATTTCAACACTTGAAAATGCTTATTTAGTATTTTAGTATATGAGAAGGTCCACCATGGACCTTAGGTGCATGTAGTAATTTTCCGTGCAAAATCAGATAGCTTAAAGATATCACCTCACCTCACAGATGTCACAGCTGGTAATTCTATTATCTATGGCAGTCTCAGACTCTGACGACCAAACACTTGCTTACAATAACGAGTGAGTAATCTCACATTCTTCTGTCTTACCTTTTCTGCAGCAGAGGTGCAGAGAAGTATTTCAGGAAATCAAGATTGAATTGGCCCGAAGGGGCACTATCGAGGGAGAGCATAAGATCGGTTAAGAAATTGGACCGACTTCAGGTTTGTGTTTGTTTACCCCCCCCCCCCCCAAACCCCCACCCCACCACACAATTAAAGTAAAGAAAAAAAGGATAATACGGAGTAAAATCTTTTTCATCTTTTGCTCATTCATGTCACCATCTCCATTCCAATTGCTTGCCATGTTTGGTTGCACAGGATCTTGTATCCATGCAGTTGAGGTGCCCAAGATCATCATCCCTTCTAGACTTGCTACATGGCTTGTTGAAGTTTGATTCATCTGAGCGTCTTACCGCTCGAGAAGCGCTTAACCATCCATTCTTTAGAACCACAGTCTAAGCAGAGGTGGGCCCTGTTCCGTTTATCTTCGTCCTCGTTGATCCTTGTTGTTGGCTTTCACTTGAAATTTTTTTATAGATGCTTCATGAATGGCGGCTCCACCCCACAGTTGCTGTACTTCTATTGTGTAACAAGTTACTCCAATTATATACATATACATACATTCAGTAGGTCTTTCATGTAAGCGGTAGTTCCCCGAGACACGTTCAAAACATGATATTATTTGTGCCTAAGTGCATTGATATATGTTACTCTATTCCTTCCAAAATATGATTTATATTTTTTTCCTATAAATTTCTTGTTTAAATCTCAAAAAAATAATTTTATATCTGCCAAAAAAATATCTTTTTAATAGGCATGTCAAATTTTAGATCTAACTAGGAACATTGAGGTGGTCTCATCCACTGAAAATACCACATAGAAAGCGCTTTTGTTTGGGTGAATTGAGTGGGGATTAGTAGTGTAAATTTCATTGGTGTTGCTGGAAAAATTTCTTAATTCGCTCTTCTAGTTTGTGATATTTTGGGGATTATTTGCATTTCACTATTTACATTCAAAATTGTATTACAATTTGTGGTTGTACACAAAGAAGACACACCATCCTTTGATAGTCTGTACAACAAAAAAGTATTCCCTCAAAACATTCAATCTTGACTTGACATGAAGATTAAAAAAGTAAAGTTATCTGATTAAAAATTATACGTAAGAGAGAATAATGTGAGGCACAAAAAGTATTTCTAAAAATGAAAAGTGGAAATTAATTTTTGGACGAGTGAAAAAACACAAGATTTTTTTCAAGTAAATGACGAACATATGTAAGAAAATAAAATTTCATTCCTGATAGTGTAAGTCAAACATTTTTTCCCTAATAAAGCAAAACGGATTTGGCTACTCCGTTTCTATTCAAAAAATTTAATTAAACGGAGTAGCTTAATGCGTTTGCTTGATTTAATTGCCAAACGGAGTTGGCAAATCCGTTTTGCTATTCTTTATTTTTAGTAATTTTTTTGCCAACAAAGTTGGCTAATCCGTTTGCCCTTTTTTTCTTCATCATGCAAATCCTTTTTTTTCTTTATCATTTTAAATATTTTTGTTCATAATTTTTTTTGATAATTTTATTTATCATTAAATAATATATACTCTAATAAAATTTAATAATAAAACTACTATTTAATGTCAATAGACAAATTCTACTGTAGACCTAAGATCCACGATACACCTAGAGAGGATGGTAGTAAGCATTTGCTTACTATTGTCATGCACATTTCTAATGCTCTCTTGAAAAAAACTATGTAGAAAGTCTACAAAAATTTTGTGAATATTAAGTGTATCATAGAAACACTCATGCAATAAAAGTTCATGTGTTTGACTCTTATTATATAGCCCTTGTAATTCTCATGCTAAGGATCAGATCATGAAATGCCATGTGAGCTAGACATAAACATAATTTGGACTTGAAATCAGACTCATAATCGAAATTGTCATTTTTAAAATTAAACGAACTAATAAAGAGGGGTCAGAGAACCGAACAGGAACCAGGGTGACATTATTCATTTGAGTGAGAAAACATTTTATTTTGGAAAATTCAAGTGCTTTAATACCACTTACACACCAAGTATGTCACAAACACACACAAATAACAATTATCTGCACGCGTAAAAATAATTATTGTTTGTATGCATCTGTAAGATTGGAATCAAAGTGTTATACCCCTATTTATTTTTTGGTTGAAGTAGATGACGGGTCTGTTTGGAAATAACGTTAGCGATTAACGTTAGTATTTTGAAAAGGTTATCTACGGGCAGCGTTTAGCGTTAGCGTTTTCAAAGTAATCTGCACTGTTAAAATTTTATTCAAAACGCTAAAGCTAATCACTAAAGTTATTCCCAAACACGCTGGACAAAACAAATTGTTGGCGTTATTCATTGCCAAATAAGAAGGGGAAAAAATTGCAATAGAAAAAAATGGGGTTTATCGTTTTATTCTCCAAGAACCCTAACTAATAATACTCGTACCGACTGATCTGAATCTGAAGAGGGGAAGGGAAGCTGGAGCTCGGAGCTCGAAATGGCGTTCAGATCTAAAGATGCAATGAAGAAGCTAGTCAAGAAGTTAGATGGCCAGAAGAGATTGACGGCCGGAACCAAACAACTGCTGTTGACATTGCCGCCCAAGAGTGACGTCATCATGGGCCGCGCCCACCGCGGCCTCTACGCCGGCCGCCATATCCAGTACGGGAATCAAGTTAGCGAAAAGGGAGGAAACAAGTAATCATCGTCATCATCATTCTTGTTTGTTTTTCTTCATCAGTCCATTTGCCTGTCCTTTGTGTGTTTGAATTGAAAGTTAATGTCTTTATGGATAGAAAGAGATCTATGTTTCCTCATACACAATCAGTAGCCTGAATCGTATCCGTAGTATTCCACTTTTCTGGCATTCAAGTTATTTGGGAGATGGGTATGACTAGAGAATTAGAAATGTTTATCGAGTACAGGGAATGCTCCTTTAGTTATGGGCATTCTGGGTATATGGACAGAGTTAGTAACAATCATTTGAAATCCCGATCTTAATTCTTATGCTTCTTCTTTCTTTCTTTTTTAAATTCATCCCTGTTACTTGTTCTTTAGAGTAATTTAATCCATGTTACATTACGTATCAAATGAGAGGCCTAAAGTGATTTTTCCTTTTTCTGTTTTTTCCCTTACACATGGTCTATATAGACAAGGGAAGCCAGCTAGGGCTTGGTACTGGATTGCAAGAGGTGTTGTTATTCCCATGATTGTGTATTATGTCAACAACCACCGGAGTAATTGCAAATGTTAAAGGCTGAAACAAATTCTACTGTAGGTATCTACTAGTTAGAGAATTAGAAACTCTATGGAGCACTAGAAAAGTTCCATTTGTTGTGTCAGTGGAGTTGTGGAAACCACACCACCAGAAACGTTTAGTATGTGTATGAAATGTGTCTAGAACCAGAAGGGTGGAAACATCTAAAAATGTTTACTAAATATGTTCATTCAAATTTTCTTCCATTATGCTCACTCTCTTTCAGAGTTGCCTCATCAATATTACCTCTCAGATGGATGAATGTCCTGTTGAATTGTTTAGACCGTTCCCCCCTTTGAATGAGATACAGAAAATGTGTGATTGTTGTGTGCATATCTTAAACCTTCTACTTTGTCTCATTGCAAAAGTTGAATATGACTGGCGGATAATGGGTAATTTTATTCCAATGTTTCATTTTCTGAAATGTAATTTGACTTCACTTGTGGAATACACAATTCTTATTGTAGTATGAAAGTTCATTTGCATGCTTTATCTACGTCGATTGTTGAACCGTCAAGAAGTGCAATACAAAGTTCTCATTTCTGAAAGCTTTTCTTTGGACCATTGTGGTCTGTTCTATCGGTTTATTGATCTGTCATCCATATCCTGCATTCGACCATTGCGATCTGTCTCCCATTTCCTTCCAAATTGCTCTATTTTCTCCTCCCAGCACTTTCTGGTTTCAAATGGGCCTCTGCAGTGCAGAAAAGCGTCATTTTTGTGTGTGTGCATTTTATGTAGTATCTGCATCCATTGTTGAATTTTCTTTCAGGGAAACCTAGAAAAGGACATTCACAAGGGCACCTCATTTGATGATGATATTATTACTGTTATTAACAGGACAAGGACGAACTGGAAACCCAACGTGCAGGGGAAGCGTCTCTTCAGCTACATCCTGGACCGCTTAGTTCGTGTTAAGGTTTCCACTCATGCCCTTAGATGCATCGATAAGGCCGGTGGATTTGACGAGTACCTCTTGAAGACACCGTACGAGAAGATAGACTCGGAGTTTGGCGTGTACTGGAAAGCTAGGATCCAAAAGAAGTATGAAGAGCTAGGGGAGAAGAAAGTGTTCTCGTCACTAAAGGGCGATGAGGCAAAGATAAAAGAGAAATTCAAGGGACTTAAGTTAGTCGAAAAGGCACATTGTAGGGAAGCGAGGGTGAAGATGTACGATTGGATACGCCGATCCGAGAAAATTGAAGACGTGAGAGAAGAAAAAGAACGGGCACACGGAGAAGGGCCGTCTAGTAGTATTGACGAAGCTTCGTCGTCTCAAAGTGAATTTCATGCACAGATGGTTGCCAATGCTTGATGATGTCACCCTGTTTTTGCGGTAAAAAAATTATTTCACCTTATGGCTAGTCCTATACTCTAGCATTTAGAGCTGTATTGGATGACTGACTTATCCCAAAAGTGCTCTTACAAGAAGTGCTCTCTCTCTATTCTGCAGTAAAATTTTGCTTTGCTAATCCTGGAGTGTATGAAGCCCACCAACTTGTATTACATCAACTTTTTGTCTATTTTCATTATTTGTGATAAAATAATATAATTATGACATCTTTTGATTTGTAGAATCTGTGTTGTACTTTTTAAAATATAAATTTTATTTATTACTTTCATGCTAATTTTTTAAATAAATTAAATTTACTCCAATAACTTGAAATCATCGTACCAATCTAATGGATTTGAGGTGAACTTCAAAATGGAAGAGAAACAACCATGAGTAAGCTCTTAGGAAGCATGGACAGAAGTGATTTTTATTTATTTAAGCCCTTTTCATTTTTTGTGAATTCTTTGTGCCACAGATGAAATATATGTTTACTTTTATTTATTTTTTAAAAAAATGATCTGTAACAAATCTTAATACTCTCACACACACACACACACATATACCATACTAAAAGTTAGTAATTGTACATCGGTCCGGTTCTAGTGACACCGGAGAACGGTGCCACTTGGTTTTTGGGGCACCTCCGATGCTCCGTTCGTAAAATTGACGGTTCCTACCTCCCTAACTCACCCCTTAAACCCCCCACCCTACTCCCACCCCTGTACTCCCACCTCAACCCCGCCGTAAGTCCCCCACAAAATGTGTGACGGTACATTCATATGATATGATACTTTAAATAAAAAAAGATAAAATACTATGGAGTAGTAATATTTTTCTAAAAAATAAAATATATAAAAACGCCGGATTTTACCGGTCTGATCCTGCCCTAGTCCTGACCAAGTAACCATATTCAACCGATAAGATGGACCTCATTCGATCTTGTTCCGGTCCGGTCCGGCTCGGTTTGGTTTGGCACCCTCCCACATTAAGGATTTCGTGCATTTGAACCAAACACGCCCTTAAGGAAACCAAAACCCACATCATCTTCATCGGGGAAAAAGAAACAGGATTCCGTAGCCATGGCTACAGAAATCGCAATCAACCCGGAACCAGTTCAGTCCTTCTTCTCCAAGATCGAAGCCCGCAGATCCCTGTTATCTACCATTACAGACATCCACAAAACCCTGACATTACACTTCTCCTCGATCGACCTCTCCATCTCCCAGAAATCCGAAACCCTTGATGCTCGGATCGCGTCATTGCGGCAGGACACCGAGAATGCCCTCAGCGAGCTCCGGAATCGCGAGGATGGGATCCCGGCGCGCGAGGTCTCCATGGCCGCCCGGGTCGAGGAGCTCAAGGCGGCGGCGATTGCGGATATCGAGAACCCCCGGGCCGTCGAGAAGTTGAAGGAGATGAGAGGGTCGGATATGCTGAGATACCTCTGCAGAAGAATGGACTCCAGAGGGCTCATGGAGTTCCTCTTCAAGCACCGGAGGGATTCTTCTGCTCTGCGAGCTGAGATTTCTGATGCTCTCCAAGAATCAGTCGACCCCATGAGGTGTCTATACATTTTCCATTCTGCTTACACATGGAAAACATTTAGTATATGCTTGTCAAAACACTTCACAAAAAAAGAGCTTTTGCTCTCATTGTTGTAGTATTTATTATGATAAACTAAATTGGTTTTGTTGAATTTTGTTAAGTTGAAATTCTAAATGTTCTATAGTGTGTTCTATAGAAAGTTTAATTCCTTTACAGTTAAGAATGTTCATCAGGCGAAATGATATTGTAATTCAAATTTTAGGTGAGTTTGATTCTTGTAGCGGCACACTGCTGAGAGTTCTTTTGGGAACAATATCCATTATATTAGGGTTTCCTTGGTTGTCTGATTATTGGCTGGCTAACTTTTCAGGCTGGTTTTGGATGCTGCGGAGGACTACGTAGGAATGAAGGAAGAAGGGTCGGTTGGGATGGCAGATAGGAGGCGGGTTTGTTCCATGTTGATTCAGTCTGTTGTGCCACTCAAGGAAGGATGCTGTGTTGTGTCAAGGACATTAAAGGAAAGGGCATTTTCTGCTCTAGAGAAGTGGAAAGGTGTTCTTGAAAATGCGGACACGACTGGTGGTGCCAGGCCCAATGAAGCATCAATGTTTTTGCAGATAGTGGTTGGGTTTGGATTAAAGCAGGAGTTTCAGGAGGATTTCTTGAGGAAACTGGTTGAGAAATTTGCCTCCAGAAGAGATATGCCAAAACTTGCTATGGCTTTAGGTTTTGGGAACATAGTACCAGGTCAACTTCCTCTAATAAACACTACATTTGTTACATTCCATTTCCAATACTTGTGATGGATTCGTTTGTATAGCAATGTAAAATGTTTATGGTTGCATTTAAATCCCAGAAAATATTAGGGGGGAAGTAAAAATGACAACATATATGGGAATATGCAGAAAAGAAAATATAAGGGAAACCAAAAGATAGGCTAACAATCAAATAATATATGTTTTGTACTGTATTTGTTATATACCCATTCTAGTCCCATTTTATTTATTTATTTATGTCTAGACCAGGAAAATATTAATGCATGACAGGTTTTTTTTAATTATCATATTTCATTTCCTTTTCATTTTTTAAGGTTAGATCAAACAGAAAAAAATAACTGTATTGTTCAAACTATCCCAGCCCCCATCCGGCCATCCCCTAGCCCCCTCCCAAACTCTTTGCCACAAACTAAAAAAAGAAAAAAAATGAAAGACCATCGTAGGGGAAAAATATAAAAAAACAAGACAAGTTTCAGTAAAATGGCATACAAATCTTTGAAAATTTTGAACGGTTTAATGGGTTGCAGCTTCACTTAACTTTAAATCGATGGTTTATGTTTTAGGGATGGAAATATTGATTCATGTTGGTTGTATTGTTCAGATATTATTGATCAGCTGGTGAATGACGGGAAGGAGATTGAGGCAGCATATTTTTCCTCTGAGGCTGGATTAACCGAACAGTATCCTCCAGTTGCATTCATCAAGGCGTCTATAAAAAATTGTAAAAAAAATGCTAGAGATGCTTCCAAGAAGGGCAATTTCAGTGCTGCTGCAGTGGTGCGTTCATTGTTCTCCTACTCTATGTCCTTAAGTTTGCTGTACATGGATCGTTAACTCAATGAATGCTTGGATTTGCCAAAGAACAAACATTGTCAAATATCCAGCGTGAACAAACCTCTAAAAACAACCATTCTTTCTCTGAACTCTTTCATTTTAATCTCTTGAGCAAGGGAGAGATGTGACAATGATGGCTTACAAGTTACAATTCTCAACAAGTTTTCAAGGAAAAATACTTGTAAGTAGTCACTTCCACTAAAAATAAAATGGTACATCTTTTTAAAGAAATGTAGAAGTATTTTAGCCTTAAAGATTTTCTTCAACAGCCCCATCATGTACCGGAGTAAAATATTCTACTGCATTACTCGCTAAATCTTCCTTTTTTGACTCAACACACTTTTCTAAAAAATGAAATGTGCTGAGATGTGTTTATAGATGAAACAGATAACATCATCCACAAAATTTTTCTTTAAAATAAAATCGGAAGATTGATTTTTGGACTGACCAAAGAGAGAACAATATTAATTTTGGATGGAGGGGAAGTATCATTCATATCTCTTGATAAGTACTCCTTATGCCCCATAAAAAGGAGTCAAATTTGTGAAAAAGAAGTTAATTTGTATCTTATAAAATATTTTTTGTTAAAAAACCTAAGAATATATGTTAACTTTATACCAGTACATGTTATATGTAGTATTTGGTTAGATAGTTTAAATTTAGTTTAAAAATGTTCGATTTAGTATAACTAGCAAATAAAATTTACAGTAAAATATTTTGGTGATTTCCACTAGCTATACACCTGCACTTCACCACAATTTAAAAAATTGTACATTGGAGATACAACAACAACAACAACAACAACAACAACAACAACAAAACCAGTTAACTCTTACAAAAAGTAGGGTATTTTGGAGACACACAATTTCTTTTATAGGACGAACAAAAACCGAAAGAAGTACTCTGCTCCACAAAAGCTTTTAGACTATGTTTGGTTTTCTCTCATTTTCCTCACAAAAATAGGACTTATTTTCCCTCCTCTTCGTACATTTGCCTTCTCATTTTCTCCTCCTTCCACTTTTTCCTTTCTAACCAAACAAGGAAAATTGTTTTCCATCTCATTTTCTTTTCTTTTCCCTTTCAAATTCCTTTGTACTAAACATAGTGTTAAGTTTCTTCAATCAGATCATTTACAATGTTATTGGACATGTGAAGTCATATCTACATTTACATACTTATGAAAGGTTTATGCCTTTTAGGCCTTGTCTGGTAGCCATAAACTACATAACCATTTGACTTGCTTATTTGGCCGATATGCATGCTGCCAAAACCGTCCCCTTTCAGAAGATTCATTTTGATCTACCAAACGGGTCCATGAATTACTCATATTTTTATCACCATGTTAATTATATGCTGTGCCTAGTGATTCTGTTCATTTTTTGATGTCATATTTTATGTTCAACACGTTGTTGATCTTTTCAGGAAAAAGCCAACAATTTGGAGTTAGATGCCACCAAGGCAATCATCCAGTGCGTGGAAGATCTCAAGCTTGAATCTGAGGTGCCCTTAGAGGCACTCAAGAAACGGGTAGAGCAGCTTGAGAGTGCCAAGTCAGCAAAGAGAAATAACTCTCCAAGCAAGCTTATGAAAAAGCGTGACCGTGACCGTGAACGTGGCCGTGCCCGTCTTCGTGATCGCGCCCGTGACCGTGACCGCAACCGTGGCACTACCCAATCCTCCTCCCGCCCGCCTAAAGCTGCAAGGTTTTCTACTTCCACAGCTTCTCCCTATCCCCCTAGAAGTACTCCCAGAACACATTTAGGACAACCCCTCCCCTTGGGGCGATACCCCGTGGCACCATATAATTACTCACCAAGCCCGAGCGTTATGTACGAAGGGCATCCCCCACCGTCATATACACCACATTATAACGAACCCCGTCCGCGTAGTCCTGCTTCGTACCCTAAACATTACCCGTACCATACCACAGCAGAGGTCGCGACCCTACACGGTGGTGGGCCCACGCACTACGGAGCTCAGGGAAGTTACGGAGAGAGTCCAGTCCCGGTCCCACAGCACTACGGGTACCCTCCGCCACCGGAGGTCACAACGGGTAGTGCACTGCGGGGGGGTGCATCCACACACTATGCAGGAGCACAAACGCCGGCTGCGGGAGGAATGTACGGAGGGAATCCGGCACCGCCACATCACCCGCACTACGGATACTCCACCACGGGGGTACAAGGGGCTTCATATGAAGCAGCGGGACCACACGGCGCCGTGCCTGGCGGCGAGTATGCCGCCGCAGCAGCAGCATATGATTATGGGGCGGAGGCAGTGGCTGCGGCCTCTATGACTGCATACACAAGTTCCTACCAACCCCAGCAATTCTAACTGCCGGTGGAGGGGAGGCATGAGACAGCCAGCCTATCACAGTTCTTAGTGTGAAACATAACATTTCTTAGTGTTAATCTGGTGATATTATATGTTCTGTCAAATGTTGTTTATCACTTCTGATAAGTTTAGCAGATGTTTTGTTTGTTCATTTCGAAATGATTTTTGCACTTTTTTTAGGGTGATATTTTGTGCACAATTATTTCCTCATCATTTCACCACTTTTTAGGACCAATCTTTTCCTTTCATCTCATGAATGACTTAAAATCAGTAGCCTCATTAATGACATCAACACTCGAAATATTTAAATCCAATGCGAAAAACTAAATTGAACTACTATTATTTGGTCTCGGTTTTATTTATATATATATATATATATATATATATATACATTAACCAAAAAAATTCGTCTCAAGTCCTACTATATTTTTTTAACCAAATTAATTCATTAATGTTCCCCTTGTCTCAACTTAAATTACTTTAATTTTTTGGAAATTTTAAAAAAGTATTGAAAATATTTTGAATAATACTCAGTAAAACGTGAGTAATTGGAGTTTATTTAGAAACAAATAAAACATGAAAGTAGGAAATTAGAGTGAGAGGGAGGAAATATATAGGGGTGGGACCCAAATCTCGTCTGGTATTGTTCTGGTTTCAAAATTATCGGTATCCAGTCCCTAAATTACTGGAACCATTACCACAACCCTTCTCTCACAATCCTCATTGATTTCAGTCGGTTAAAGGTGTTTTCAAAAATGTTATTGGGAGAAAGATCAAAGTAAGAGTAAAACATTGAAATTATCAAACATGATAATGTACATTACCAAAAAATATAGTAATATGCACACGTACAATGTCACATTACCACAGTACAAAATTATGTTTCAAGATAAAAATATGAAAATTCTATTTTGGTACTTTTCTTTATGTTTTAGTCTTATTTAGGGTGATTTTTTAAATGTTATACTCTTATACTCTGTATTTTTACTTCATATTCTTTTTAGTAAATATTGTGAGTCAATCTTAAACAAATTACTCCCTCCGTCCTAAAACTTTCTTCTCTGAGCACTATTCCAACTTCACAGAAATTTATATTTATTTGCGTTTTTTCATGGCCTATATGATAAAGTAAAATATTCTTATCACCACTTGTTTTGTTGAACTTTTGATGTAGTTTTTAAATATGTATGTTTTATTTTTTGTTTCTATACCAATATTTAAATAAAATAGATTGAAAAAACTTGTGATTTTTTTCTTCGTTTTGTGCAACGGGAAGAAAGTTTTAGGACGGAGGGACTAAAATTTAGCGCTCTAAAAAAATTAAAATTTAGCATTTCAAACAAAAACAAAATAAACAAATCCAAAATTTCAACTGCAACCTTTCCTTGAGCTCAGACGGGATCCAGTTCTCCAACGGTCCAAACCGGACAAATACTCAATATCTCACTAATTTTACTACTATGAATCTATGATTTTAAACAATCTAAACCATTCCCTTTAACGATCCCCCTCCCAATTTTGCTGGTTTTATATTCGAATTTAATTCTATTTTTTATGTTTAAAAAAAAAACCCCTTATCAAATCACACATCACAAACAAATTGGTAATCTATGCCATTAAGGCTCGATGCAGTAACGTTCAGCCCGCACTTGCACCCCCCACATGTTTGATAAAATTCCCAACCGAAATAGCTCTCTACAAAGGTCCTCTCTTCAATGTTCTGTAGAGCCATTCTTGACAGAATTCTAACATCCTCCTCCACCGCCACCAGGCCCACCGCCGTTCTCAGAAGCATAACAACGGCTGCTGCCGCCATTGGCCCGGGCGAGAAGGCCGGTGGTCGGGGAGGAGTGTCAAACGATGACTATTTCGCCACCATTCATCACATATCAAACGTCGTCCGGCGAGACATCTACTTGGAGAGGACTCTGAATAAGATGAGAATCTCTCCCATTGTCAACTCGGAGCTCGTTTATCGCGTCCTCCGCAGCTGCCCCAGAAATGGCATCGAGTCCTTTCGTTTCTTCAACTGGGCGAGGACCCAGCATCCCCACTACGATCCCACCACCGTTGAGTTTGAAGAGCTTCTCAAGACCCTCGCCCGAACCGCTCACTGGGAGACAATGTGGAAGGTGGTTTCTCTTTTTCCTTGCATGTTTTTATCGATCATTTACTTCGTAATAAACTAAAATAGTCATGTCACTTCACACCTTTCGATCCCAAAGTCAACAAAATTCAAAGGATGAAAATGCAGGGTGTGTTTGGGAGGTACCCCAATCGAACTGATGTCATAATGCGACACTGGTTATCAATGTCAAAAGAACCTAACCCATGTATTATATATCTCAACAGGTTGTTCAGCAGATGAAGACACAAAACATTCCTGTGACACCCTCCATAGCTTCTTTTGTGATTGAACAATATGGGAAACATGGCCTCATTGATCAGGCGGTTCACCTCTTCAACCGCCTCAAGAACTTGAACTGTCCCCAAAACACTGAAGTCTACAATTCACTGCTTTTGGCTCTCTGTGAGGTGAAGAATTTCCAGGGAGCCTACGCGTTGATCCGTAGGATGACACGCAGAGGAGTCACCCCAGACAAGAGGACTTATTCCATCCTCGTGAACGGCTGGTGCTCCGCGGGGAAGATGAGAGAGGCCCAGAGGTTCTTAGAGGAGATGAGCCGAAAGGGGTTCAACCCTCCTGTCCGGGGACGGGACCTACTCATTGATGGGTTGTTAAACGCGGGGTATATGGAGTCCGCAAAGGTATAAATATTTAAAGCTTTGGGTTGTTGTTGAGTAATTTAGTGTTCTTTATGTTTTCCTATGAGTATTTGTTGTGAGTACATCTCATAATCAGTAAGGCTTCATGTTGTGTGGAAAGGGACTGGTGAGGAAAATGACCAAAGAGGGCTTCATACCCGACGTGGAGACGTTCAACTCTTTGGCGGACGCGTTGTGCAACAAGTCAGATGAATCTGACTTCTGCATTGGCCTGTTCGACGACGTTTGTAGGGTAGGGCTGTGCCCTAATGTGGAGACCTACAAGATCATTATATCCGCGGCTTCGAAGCTGGGGAGGGTTGAAGATGCATTTAGGGTCTTTCACAGGTGCGTCGAGGAAGGGACCAGACCGTTTCCTAGTCTGTATGCCCCTATTTTGAAGGCCCTCTGTCGCGTAGGGCGATTTGATGACGCGTTCTGTTTCTTTGGTGATGTAAAGGCGAAGGGACACCCTCCGAATCGGCCGGTTTATACAATGATGATTAAGATGTGTTGTCGCGGGGGGAGGTTCGTCGAGGCTGCAAATTATCTGGCGGAGATGAGGGAGGCGAACATGTTGCCGATGTCGCAGAGTTTTGATATGGTCACTGATGGGTTGAAGCAGTGTGGGAAGCATGATTTAGCCAAGAGGATGGAGCAAATGGAGATATCAATGAGGGGTGTTTGAGTACTTTTGGGTACAAATATGATATACTCCGTATTTATTTATCTATAGATATGTAGTGAAGTGAAGAAGGGAAAAAAAATGCTAAACATGCCCACTTTTGCCCTCTACATTTATACAAACATGATAAACCCATTCATTTGTTTACTCCCTCCGTCTCATTTTTTTATATTTTGTTTATTTGGCACAATCTGTAATGTACCGGAGTAAAGCGGAAAAACAATGCTCGGTATAGAAGAACCCGAAAAGAAAACGAGAAGAAAAATATAGGATGGAAGGCGTATATATTAGAGTTTTTTTTTGTCATCATACACAATTAGAAATTTGGAATTACAATGAAGTACAATAACAAAATGATAAGAAAATTTACCAAAGAAATGAAGCTTGAAAAAAAATACCCATTCCAACAGGACAGAAATACAAAAACTTCTTTTGTTTACACTTAAAGAAAAGCTGCATCTTATTCACCTGCCTGCTGAAAAGAATCACATTCTGTGAATAAACAAATTTACCATCCAAGCTTCTGTGCAAAGGAAAGGCAGCAAATGACTGATATTGCATAAACACTACTGTCAATGAACACTGCACCCAAGATTTTCTGCAACATCAATCCCAGTTCTAGAACCTTCCCGACCCGATCCGCTATGTCATTCTCGTCTGCTAAAACTCCACCGGCTGCTTCTTGTTGAACCCTCCTGGGTGTGGACTTTTCAAGGAGAAGCCGTCCAACAACAACCGATACGTTGGTCAGCAGAAGCAGAAACAGTGGTCTGAAAAGAACGACACTCTTGACCAAACGGGTCCCCAAGAGAGGAAATCCTATGTGACACAAGACTACTATTATGGCAGCTGCTAGAGAGCAACGAGTGCGAATGCTCTCACAGGCTTTAATTGCATAAACAATTTTCTGTGGTGTGAAGTTATTTGGATAACTGTTCACTTGCTTCGTATCACGATCCCCTCCAGAAGCAGAACTTCCATAAGATGAGACCTGAAATGGTGGTTCATTGTTGTGAAGATCCGAAGACGATGCTCCAATAGCTTCTCTGTTTGATTCACATTTGCGGATAGAGGGAAATGTTGTGTTTTCACCTTCATATTTACCGGAAACTGAGTCCTCATCAATAGAGCCTGCAAGCAAGAATATACCACACACACGGACATTGCATTAAGGACCTGTTTGGTAAGGATTATTGGGCTGAAATGGAAAAAATGTACCAAACTTTTCTGAAGATAAATCATTAATCAACATCCACTTTGGCCATATAAGCAAGTTAAAAGTTCAAAACCTATGTATAGTCTGCTGATTAGCAGAATAAACGGGATGGAGTGTAAAAGAGTACTACAAGGATAATGTGAAGGAGAAAAAAAATCATTATATCAACCAGGCCTAATATAATGAGGTAAAAATATTGGGATTGGTGGAAAATATTAGGTTTGGAATCTAATCATGAAGATCACATCACAATATGTATACATTCTAAGAATGTTTTTGGCACTATACGTTTAAGATCCGAAAACAACAAAACCATAGGCACAATTTCCAACTATAATGATGTAGCATTTCCTCAAAGTATTACAGAGTACGGAGTATATAGAGAAATGCCAGACAATGCATACACTAATATAATGAGGTAAAAATCAAATTGGTAAAAACACAATGCTAAATCATTATATCAACGAAAACTAGAGGTTAAAATGCAGCCAGAACAAGAATAATAAACGGCTCGGTACTCATCTGACATACAAAGGTTCAAGAAAGGTTATTCTTAGCCTAAGAAAGAATCCATTACAGGACTTTGGCTTTCATATGCAAGTAATGCAACAGTACCCTATTCTTCTTCAAAAAAAAACCCAAATGTTCTCAATGAATCATTCCATCAACTACCAAATGCCATAATCATCGTCTATATGAAGAATTGAAGGGGGCAAAAAGTGCATACATGCCCACTAAGAATAAGTGAGAAACGAGCAAAGAAAGCACCATTTTAACAATACTAATGATATGAACCCTACATAATGACTACCCCATAAAAATTTCAAGTGATTCAGAACTAAATAAATTTTAAATTGCATTTAAAAATGCCAAACGAATAACAAATTGGATGCAATGGTGATCATCAATCGTCAATTCATCATAACAATCAACATTTAAAAAAAACCTAAATCGACTGAACATAGAAAATAGTAACCGCGGCAGAAAAATTATGCGAAATCCATAGTAAGATCGATTACTCTTCCAATTTCCTCCATAAAAAAGGTGGGATTGATGGTGTAGAGAGAGAGAGTACCCACCGAGGGAGGGAAGGTCGGGTTCTCGAGGTTCGCGAGAGAGATAGGGCGGACATGAGGCGGTGTGGGAATGTCGCGGTTCGGAATCGGCGTCGGAGTCCGGCTGGAGGTTGCGGATCTGGCCGGTGATGAGCGCAATCCGGTCGGATCCTTTGTCAACTATTCGCCGCCGTCGCGCCTCTCTGCTGTTGGATGCCATTATCGTTTTCTTGGAGAGATTTTTAAATTGTTTAAGAATTACAAATGATACTCCGTATTAATAATCATAATACAATGAAGAAGAAAAATGGATTATGATATGTGTAACCCAATTTGTACCTCGCAGTTTTGCACCAACATTTTGTGTTGGTGTAAAACTAATTTTTGTTAATCGCACCAACATTTGTGTCCGTGTGAATTTTTATTAACGCACCAACACTTATGTCGGTGTAAACCATCGAAATGTTTGTGCAAACCTGTGGTATACAAATGGGGTATATTTGTTGGTGTAAGTGTAGCATGGTCCAAAAAAAATTCCGTGGCTTTGCTGCGACCTCACGAAAGCCCAGCCGCCTCATTTCTTCTCCCTATAATCTTTTGGAAACAATAACAATCCAGGTGAATCCTACAACAGTAGGGTCTGGGTAGGGTGTGTGTACGCAGACCTTACATTTACTCGAAAGGAGGGAGGTTGTTTCCAAGAGACCCCCGGGTCCACCTGCACAAAAATATGGAAGGAAACACAGTATAACACAGATAAAGTACCAAGTACAACAACACGTACAAGCAATAGCAGAAGATTCCTAACAAATACAACACACTACAAAACAACCTCTACAACACCGAGCTCCTATCCAGCTATTCTAATCCTAATTTTCCAAAGGTTCCTATCTAGGGTCATATCCTCAGTCAGGTCGAGAAGTCCTAAATCCTGCCTAATCACCTCATTCCAATTCTTCCTAGGTCTACCCCTTCCCCTACTTCCCCCGATAACCGTAATCCTCTCGCATCTCCATACAGGGGCGTCAGCATCCCGCCGTCTCACATGGCCAAACCATCTCAACCTCACTTCCCGCAACTTATCTTCCACCGGTGCCATGCCTACCTGACGTCGGATAACTTCGTTCGAAATCCTATCCAACCTTGTCTTTCCACACATCCATCGTAACATTTGCATCTCCGCTGCATGTAGACGACACACATGAGTCTTCTTAACCGCCCAACACTCTGCCCCATATAACATAGCAGGTCTGACTACAGATCGATAGAACTTACCTTTCATTCTAGGCGAAATCTTCGGATCACACAACACCCCTGAAGCTAACCGCCATTTGGCCCAAGCCACTCCAACACGATGTCCAACATCCGCATCTAACTCCCCATCAGCCTGGATTACCGAGCCAAGATATCGAAACCTGTCTACCTTAGGTACTAGATGAGAGTCAATCTTGACTTCCACCTCTGATTCTGTATCCCGGCCGCTGAAACGACATTCCATGTATTCAGTCTTGTTCCTACTTATTCTGAATCCTTTCGTCTCAAGGGCAAGGCGCCATAATTCCAACTTATCGTTTAGTCCCTCACGTGTGTCGTCGATAAGCACAATATCATCTGCGAAAAGCATGCACCATGGGACTCCTTCTTGAACACCTTGAGTTAGGACGTCCATCACCAAGGCGAACAAAAAAGGGCTAAGGGCATACCCCTGGTGCAACCCCATCCCTACCGAGAAAGAATCTGAGTCGCCCCTGGAAAATGTTATTTTAATCTCGAACCCAAGCTTTAATCTCAGTCTTACATATATTACAGATATTTGATATTATTTCGTGCCTGTAATATTTGTGTTATGGACTTTAAAGATGATGTGATCAAAGAGTGATGAGTGAAAAAAGATACGAGTATTATTTTGATTGATAAAAATGAATACGTATTACGGAGTATATTTTAGTTACTTGAAAATTAAAAAAATAATCACAACCATAAGATACTTGATAAAAATTTGGATGGGGTAGGAATCAATAGACTGGTCACAAGATACTTGGATTGAACCAAATTAAAAAATTGGATCCAATCAATTACTTAATTTAACTCAAGAGCTTATTTATGGAGAAGATGTTCCCACAAAATATACGAGTCATGTGTTGGATTTATCGAAGGAAGAACACTGCGAAGCAGTATTGAACGAAGAACTCGATAGAATAACGAATCGCGTACGAAATGCTTTCAGATCAAAGTTATTTCGGGGTATACGAAATACTTCAATCGGATAAGACGTTAATTTAGAACAAGCACTCGAGAATCTATCTATCAACCCATACCACGAGACTCTATTTTATAGAGTCGAAAATTCTTGTGATCGGACATGAACGTTCGCGTAGATGTACGCGTACGTTCGCGCAAGATGAAAAAGGTGCGAGTTTGAAACGAAAGGTCTCATGCGGTTGAAGGCTTAATTTCGACGTTTATCCATTATGTACGAGTCCTTTTACCGTTTTGGACTCCGGTCACGAAAATCTTAAGGATTTTCTTAAAGAAACAACGTCCGAAATAAAAAATTTCCAAACTGTCCCCTTAAGATAATCTTAAAGATTTTCTTACCGTTTTGGACAGCTCGACCCCGGCCAAGGGCTCTGCCCATTGGACCCTGCCAGGGGCTGCCGCCCCTTGGACCCCGCTACCCGGGGGCTGCCGCCCCTGGACCCCTGCAGTGAATTTATAATATCGTTGAACGAGCGCGCACTCCGCGCCTCTTAACTCGTTTGACAACGTCTATTTAAATTTTTGTCTGATCAAATTAAATCCAATTAAACAAAATAAATTAATGACACTAAAATCACCAACATCATGTAAAGCACGAGTGTAATACTAGTATTGGATAAAGAGTATGCATGTATGATCATGGATGGTTGTGTTGTGACCAACTAACGGACAAAACGGCACCGTCTATGAATGAAACAAACGGATGGAACAAAAAAGTAAAGAAAAGGAATTGAAGGAAAAGTGGAAAAGTTAACGCCAAAGGTTTGCTTGCTTGCATCAGTTGCATGGGTTTGGTTCACGGGTTTACGCTTCCTTTTCCTAATCCAAAATTAAGTTTTCATCTAAATGACATATTTGGAAATTAAAAAAAATTAGATTTAAATTTGAGTCAAATTCCGTTGATATTATGCAGTACCCTGTTAATTGAAATCCTTGAATTTAAACTTTAAATTCGAATTTAATCATTTAAATATTCTATAAATTTCTAATTCAAATACTACCCAGTACCCAATGAAAATGGTTGTAGACTTGTGACAGCGAAATTAGGGGATCTTCTATCCCAAAATTGTGTCCTGACTCCCTGCCCCACCGATCAAAAGTTGATACATCACCCACCCCACACCCCCAGTGAATACAAACTCATCTTAGGAATAGGATAAAGGAACATATTTACATGAGTGGTGTGGGTTAGGTGTCAAACTTTGATTGGTGAGACATGGAGTTGTGACACGATTTGGGGATGGAGGGTTAGGTCTCAAGCTCTCAGCAAAGTACAAACCGAAGGAATTGGTCAATCGGAGGGGGGACGAACTAGTCAATTTCGTTTACTCGTCGTCAGAAGTTGATACTATCTGATTTTTTCCCATGCATAATGTGACCCTTTTGGAGCTACTTTTTCCGTCTTAAGACATTTTTTCTAGTTACTATTTACATCGTCAAACTTAAATTATTTTCTTTACATATTTTTGTTAGTTATTTGATAAAATAATGTAGTCTTTTCACCTATTGTTTTGTGGAACTTTTGATATAGTTTTAAAATACATAATTTTTTTTAATTTTATACCTACAATCAAATAAATTGAATTAAAAATAAATCCAACCAAACCCCGTAAACAGAAATGGAAAGAATGTTTTACGACGGCGGGAATACGATCTATATTTATATATAAATAACGTTGGAGCACATAATTTTTTTCTAAGCCTACAATCACAAATTTGATTAAGATGTGACAAATTACTCCAGCTGAATTTTAAAAATCGTGTCTGGTCGATAGCAAGTGAAATCTGTCCCGGAATAAAATTCGGGATCGGGAAAGAAATAAACGGCATCTAAACAGTGTGTAGGATGGGCAAAGGGGGGTAGGGAAAGTAAACAATGGGAATGGGTCGGGTCCCAACCCTCGCCCGAACTGTCCCCCTTTTGTCGTTTTTGGGCGACTCAATACCACCCAAAGTGAGAAAAAGCAGCGACCGAAATGATCTCCTTCCCACAAAATGCAGACCTTTTATCATTGCGCTCATTAATGTGGAACTATTAATTCCATTCTCCATTGATTATTTTTTAAAAAAAAAAACTAATTAAATATTGACGTTAAAAACCTCACCACCCCATGGGGAGCCTAATTTTTAGGTGTCGTAAATGCAGCTATCGAATTTCATAATGCTTCTATTGGTATCACATTTCTCTATTTTAGTAAATCCAACAAAGAATGAACTTAGACATATCGTATGTCTATGTTCGTTCATTGTTCCGTACACGAAAAAATAACAAATACGGAGTACAATTACAAAGCTCGAACGAAAATTGATGACGACATGTTTTTATGGCGTGCATAGCGTGCAAAGTTTAGAATTCGACTATAATCTAATACTCGTTATAGCTTCAATTATGATTTCAACTCAAGGAAATAATTGTGTACAAGGTAGTTTATATAGATGGAGATTCCTACACCAATTAGGATTCTCCAAATATGGTAATTAACTATAATAACAATCTTTCTATAACTATAACTATTACCATAGTTATCTAACATCTCCCCTCAAGCTGAACGCCGTGAAATGAGCGGAAGCTTGGCGACCAATGCAGAGTACCGTGGTGAAGAGAGAGCTTTTGTGAGAAGGTCTGCAAGTTGCTCATGGGACGGAACATACGAAACTGTCATTTGTTCAGCAATTACCTGTTCTCGTACAAAATGGCAATCAGTACCAACATGCTTCATTCGCTTGTGAAAGACAGGATTATTTGTCAGACAGATGGTGGACTGATTATCACAAAAAATGTGAGGAGGAGGAAGCTTAATCTTTAGGATGTCAAACAAATAGGTGAGCCACATTACTTCAGCTGCGGCAGCCGAGAGTGCTCAGTACTCGGCTTCGGTGGACGACCGGGACACGCGGCTTTGCTTCTCCGTACTCCAAGAGATCAGATTTGAGCCCAAGTATATCAAGTAACCAGTAACTGAGCGTCCATCAATCATATCATTAGCCCAATCTGAGTCAGAGTATGCCTGAATGACTTGTGGTCCATGCCTGAATATTAAGCCATGAGCAATGGTTCCTTTGACATAGCGAAGGATACGTGTTAAGGCCTGGAAATCCCGCTCAGTGGGTGCATGCATACGTTGACAAACATAATTCACAGCAAATTGAATATCTGGTCGTGTGTTGGTTAAGTATTGAAGAGATCCAACTAGACTGCGGAAGAAGGTAGGATTGTCAAACGGGGGACTCTCCCCCTCATCGATCGGCCGAACAGGCAGCGGTGTAGGGGCTGGTTTGCAGTCGTCGACGCCGGCCTTGTGAAGTAGTTCACGGGCATATTTCTCTTGAGAAAGAATCAGAGAATCCTTTGTGCGTGTCACCTCAAGTCCCAAAAAATAGTGAAGAGGGCCAAGATTCTTCATTTGAAACTCTTGTTGCATAGCATGAATAAATGAAGAGATG